CCTTTTTTTCTTTTGACCGCATCCTCCCTTCGTCCGCCACTGTGACGCCCAAAACTGCCCAGACCGCCAGGGGTCCAGCATGGTCCAAGCGGCATGGAATGTTCCTCGACAAACTCAACGGCTCGGGCTGAACGTTGCGGCCGCTAGAGATTTCGAATCCTGCAACCCCGTGCAATAAATAATAATAAAAACAATCCTAATACACAATAAACCCAATGGATGACGCCGCGAGTCAGATCATATACCGATATGTCAACCGTAGTTTGGCCCAAGTGGACGACACAATGCGCGCGTGCCTCGATGCAACGGCCACGATATTGCCCTCTTGTCTTGTTGCCTTGTAGGTGTCCTTGTGCCTTGTCCAAGCCCGTCCTGATGGCGTGCGCGACGCCCCACTAGCCCGCCTCCCCTCCCCTTTTCGTAGGTAACAGCCGAGCCAAATCGATGATGCTCGCCAAAGCAAAAAAAGAAAATTCCAAAATACGCCCCTCTCCTCCAATGGCCGGGGTGTCATGTCATGGCCCCGGTCCGCAGGAATGCGGACAGACTTTGGAGCCAGTCCGCAGAGGTGCCCACCACGGGTGACCGGATGCTGCCCCTGACTCCCCACCGGCACCAGGCACAGGGCGGTGGCCGGCCGAGCGAGCGGGCTGGGGTCGCTTTTTGCCCACGACCGGTACCGAGATCCTAGATTTTATACCTTTTTTTTATATTTTATATCTGATCCCGATACCAGTCACAACCAATCTTATTACTTGATCCAGTGTGGATCCGTCCCTGCGAGACGATGTAGCCTTGTCCCTAGAGTTTGGCAGATAGAGAAAAGGGTCAGAGAGACAGAAGAAGAAGAAAAGAAAAAGAAAAAGCGTAGTGAGGGGTAAAGCGGGACAAACGCAGCAAGGACTCGATTGTCCGTTTCAACTGCAAGATAATCAAGATTGAGTGTTCGGACTGCTTGGCCCTTGCAGGCGAATCGGCCAGATGGACCCTCTTTTTTTCTTTTTTTCTTTTCAGTCTTTTTCGACCTTCCCTCTCCATTGCATGTGCACGACCTTCGGCTCCCGAAAGTGCCCTTCTTTTCTTTTCTTTGGCCAGAGGCAGGCCGCCTTCTGCACGTGCCCGTCGGCCGGGCACAGGGCCAAGGCAGCACGAGGGAAATTGTAAAGAACATGAAGCATCGTCGGACTAGGTACTTGGAATTCGTCGGGCGATGAGACGCATTCTCCATCGCACCAGTCCGAAGTCTGTAATAGAGACCAGGTAGCAGGAAGAAAAATCGCCGAGAGATCTGGGCCAACAATTATGCGCTGGATCCCCGGATCCAAAATGCCGATTCGAAATGCCAAGGACCACCAGCCGATCCCGGCGCGACGAAACCAACCGCATGAGGTTCCCTCTGGCATCCCGCCCAGCCCGCCTTTGCGCGACCACTGGTGTCTCCCCACGAGGAAAGCCCTGCAGCAGGTCTGCTGTGGGCGGGAACTGCTCTGCTGCTGTGCCATGTGCGTCGTCGGGCTTTACCTCGCCGATCTTGTCCCTCCCTTGGGAGAGAGGCGACTTGGCTGGGCGGTCGCAGCTTCATGTCTGGCCGTGTCACCATCGCGGCTGGCCTCCCCCTCGAAGCCGCTTCCGATTGTTATACACCGTGCCACCTCGGTGTGAAGGGAGACGGGAGCGGAGATTTTTTCCTAACCTAGACCTTCTCTCCAAGTTGTCTAATCTTCACTTATTTCGAGTGATGCATGCACCCGGCCGTGGGCCTGTCCCGCCCGCCATTTTGCTCAGCGATTTCGGGTGCGTCCGTGCAAAGAGACAACGGAAATCACAAAGGGTCCCTTGAAAAAGCGTTGAGGAGAAACCGGTGTAGCATAATATGGGGGGCTCCCGGTAAATGGAAATCCCGCCAACCCGATCGCGGAGCGGGAACGTCAAGCAATGACACCTCGATAGGGTCAATAAAAGGAGGAGCAAAAAAAAAAAAAAAAAAAAGGAAGATAACATATACCCCAAGCAGAAATAAGCAAATCATCAGACACGACGGTGGTTTGTGGTGCGTCTGTAATCCGCCTAGGATACTAGATTAGGCAATTAGGTCGCTCTCATGCCCCCGCCCCCCATGCCCAGATCTGGTCTAATCGCGACGGCAGGCGCAGGGCTCAGCCGCATCGCCGATTAGCGGGCATGTGTTTGCAGGGGGTGTGGGCAACAAAAAGAGAAGGAAGAAGAAAAAAAAGGGCGTCGTGGCCGTCGGCCTCGGGACATGGCGGGGGAAAATGGCCGGCCGCCGCCAACGAATGGCTGGGGAGGGGGACGCGGCCGATGATGCAAGGACGACCCCTGGAAAAGGTTCAATGACAAAAAGGGCTCCACGACGACAAGCTTCCATCCCATCGCCCGTTGTTGTAGCCACGGGGCAACGTTAGTCCCCTCACACCGGCGGGGCCCGGCGTTGGAATCTCACCGGTTCGTGCGTGGGATCGGTAGATTTGGCTGGGAAAAAAAAACAGTAGTGGTAGAAAACGACGTCGTCGATGGTTCGACGCATCCATCCCCCGGGTTTCCTCTCTCGCCTCCCCACCATCCGAACGGCTCTCTTGTGTCGCGGCGCCCCCTTGGCTGGCTTCGCGCGACCCCGGCCGTTGCAGGTTGCAGCTAAGCAGGCATGTGCCCGCCCGCGCTCGAGAGTCGGTCGAGCTGCCAGTGTCAAAGAGCTCAAATCGGGAGGCGCGGGAGTTACTGTCCCCGCAGGGCGCCAAGCGTCCAGTGGGGAGAGGGTGCGTGCTTTTCCGCCCTCTCTCTTCCTTACTTTTTTGTTTTGTATTCTTATTTTTTTTTATTGAAGCCTTGGAAACTTACGTAATGGCTAATAGCAAGGCAGACATGTATGCATGTAAGCCGACATGCAAACAGGACGGAGGACGGGCAAACGGACACTGGAAGGTAGAATGAGGCCATTGGGTGGGGGAGAACCAGACAGTCAGCCATCCAGGCAGCGGCGGGCAGATGGCGAGATCCCGATCTTGCAAGGAGAGGAAAAAGGGAAAAAGTGGGCAGCATGCTGTCGTTTGGCGTGTACTGTGTACGGGATGGACAGACATGTTTTCCCCGCTGCCCGATCCCGTCTTGCGTCGTGCCCCTTGGTGGCCGCACGTGCATTCGGATTGTCTGCTGTTTTGTTTTGATTTTCTTCCACGGGTGAGTCGTGGCAATTGCCTGTTTCTGTACATTCGGGCACACGGCAGCTCCCAAAACATTCCCGGTCTCGTTATGCCGACCGGCACAGGTGGTTGTGGTGGTGGTGGTGGTGGCCACTCAGATATTTGATGTGAATCTTTTTTTATTTTCTTGGGTAGCAACCGCGCTGCGGCTGGCCGATCTGGAATGGGGACGCCACCCCCGTTGTGGAGGGGACCTGGTCGCCCAATCGCGTCAAACGAACGGAAATCTCGGTCGCTGCTCGTCTGGTTTTTTGTCGGCCCGCCCCGATCTCATCGTCATCTCGACCAACAGGCCCCTGGTCGGTCGGCCTACCCGTGTTTTATCCTTTCTTTTCATCCTTCACGTCCGGCTGGCTGGCTGTCCTCGTCGGGGTGCGGGCAGGACACCGAGCACGTCACGTCGTTTCGCTGCGTAAGCAAGCGCCCGTGCTCCCTCACTGGCCGTTTCAATGCCTTGTTTGCCGGCGGGGGCTGGAGCTGTCGGCGGGAAAGGTAAGTGTGATCCGGGCAGTTATAGTGGGGGGTCTAACAAAGCAGTCCCCTTGCTGCTGTGTGCCGGATTGGACACATCAGGCTCCCCTCCGCGTCCCCCCACTCTCACTTCCCGGCCTGCTTGTTGGTTATCTGATCATGCTCAAGATGTAGAGTTGAAGATGGGGTCGGTGGTGAGATTGCCAGACACGGCGGGAAACGGCTCGACTGCCCGGCGACGGCGGGGTGTTTCCGCCCATTCTCGACCTCGTATTAACTCGCTGTGGGATTTCGCTACTAATGCACGGCCATGAATCTCGCGCGCCCCAGGCAAAGGCTGGAAACGTGGTATTACGGAGCATCTTGTAGGCTTTTGTGAGCACGTTTTGCGCAGCAGGAACAAATGAACTTGGGTGTGAAAAACTCAAATGTTTGACAACGACAACAATAGCGCGGCGGACCAGGGGTACAGTTTCGTTGGCTCCCGCGCCCATGCCTTGTTTGCCTCGCGATTGCGCGCGGGCGCCTCTGCCGCAATCGGAAACACAATCGGGGCTGGGGCTTGGGGGGAGTCTGTAGCCACAGTTCCCTGGTGCTGCGTTTAACATCTATCGGAGCTCGCACAAAAGTGCGTGCGCGCGCTAGAATCTCTCCAAAAAGAGCCCCAGCGCGCCTCGTGTTGCCCACGCGCCGTTTTTGGGCTGAAACTTGAAGAATTCTCTCGTCACCCTGGAATGGAATGCTCTCGGACCAAGGGAACGCAACGAAAAAAAAAAGAGGTCAGATTGATCCGGGGCAAGATTTGGCGGGGGGCGTCCATGGCCTTGTGCGTCCATCCAATCGCTTCCTCGGCAGAAGAGGACGGAGACGGAGACAACAGCCCAATCTTGCAGGTGCTAAATTCAGCACAACAGGCGGCGCCAACACTGGCAAATGGTCCTGCGCCCTTTCATTCTTTAGGCCCATCGGATCTGTCCTTCAATGTTGGTGCAACCCATCGTACCGGACCAAGTGGGCCACCTGGGTCCACCATGAATCACCACCTCAACCTGTCTGGCCGCCTGTTTGAGGGAAGTGGTGGAGGCTAGCAATGCCCGCCTCGTTTACATACTGCAGACTTTGCCGCCCACCGCCTCGGCTGCACGGCCAAAAGAAACGGGGGCCCTGTCGCTGGGCTGGACGTGGAGGCAGCTGACCTGACGGGCGGCGGGCCGTGCATTCTGCTGCACCCATCTGTGCACCCCTCCCCCTAGGTGGTGCCCCCCCCCCCGTCACCCTCCCCGGAGGATTGCAAGCGATGTTGCGTCCGCCATCTACGAAAACGATCGATGATCGCCCTGTTTCAATACTTGCTTCGGCTGGATGCCATCCATTTTTGCACAAGGAATCCCCCTCCACTCCCCACACCCCCATCACTGGCTTATCTCGACCGAGGCCGAGACGATCCCTGCTTGGTCGATCCAGCGCCGAAAGAGGGTGGGCTGTTTGGTGGTCTTGTTGGCAAATCGACCAAAGAAATGGCAAGCGTGGAGGGTACCTAGACGAAGGCGCACGCGCCGAGAACAATAGAAACAAAAACGTTGGAAGGAGCACCCGAGTTGGAATCTGCAACCGACTCGGAAAGCGGAGACGACAGACTCGTGCTGGTCGTGTTTTTTTGTTCTAGCTTTTTTTTTTTTTTTTTTTTTTTTGTTGTTCCTTGACAAAAGTTTAGCCTTCCAACGGTCTCGGTCATTCCCGCGCAAGCCATGTTCATCTGCCCTGGGCCGGGCACGCGCGTCCCCATATTTGACAGCGGCTGTCTTCCCACCGCCGTTGGGGCCGGAGGATGGAGCGAGGATTATTTGAGCGTGCGCGCGTATTTTGACGCGGCCGGAAATTTTGTTCCCTTGTTGGGCCGGCTTTGACCGACATGCGTCCTCAATTTGTGCTTGTGTGTGCGTATGTGTGCAGCGCCCTCTGGGGGAGGGGGTCCCGGGGCACAGGGTGTGCGAGGAACGAAATTGACGTTGCTTTCCTCCAAGAAAGAACGTTTGGATGGAGTAACCCCGTCGGCCCTGTGCTTTGTCTGTTGACAGAGTCCGTCCGTCCTCTGCATCCCTCTGCTCTCTCATACACTCTCTCCTTCTCACCTCATCACGCCCCCTTTATTTTTCAGTGTTTCCGGGCCCGCCGCTCCAGGACCCTTGGGTTGAAGGAGGGAAATTCCCCGATCGGCCATGTGCGTGTGTCTGGACCCAGGTCGCATTCACCCACTTATCTGTGGTGATCTCGCAGGAAACATTGCCCCAACCGACTCGATTGATGTGCGGTACTTGGCCCTAGTAAAAAGGGGAGATCTCTTGGGCTTTGCGGCGTCGCGACTGGCTCAAAGCCTCACTCACGTCCTACCTCGGTTCGGTGAGTCGAATCGTCACCTTTATCCTTGTATTCTCTTCTATAGCCTCGACCCTGTTTCATAGTCGTAAGAATTACTTATCAGAGCCGTCCGTACCAAAACGATGGCGCCCTTAGGTCTGCTGTCCAAACGTCGAAACGTCCACTGGATTAGAAAGAAGTGAGCAGGAGAAAAGCATGACGCAGGACACAAGATGCTCCCACCCAATTCCGCTTCCCGAGAACACAGGCTAGGCCCGGACAGGCAATGATCTCCATATGCTCGGGTGAGACTGACTGCAACTACATGGCCTCTCTCATTCCCACCATCACACACACACACACACACGCCACGACCACTGCCACCACCACACACCCTTCCTAGAACCAAAGAGCCACTCTCATCGATCTTGGCTGAGCCGGGCCAGAAAGTGGTGCCATTCTGACGCCTTCTCGAGCGCAAGCGACCGAGGAACGCACTAGCAGATCGTGAACCCTGCTTGGCTCTGCATGGCTCTGCACGCCCCCCTTGTCAGCCAGCCTTTCGGGGCTAGTCTCCACTGGGAACTTTTTTCTTTCTTCTTCTTTCTTTTGCTGCCACAGTCATTCCTCTTCCACGATGCGAACGAGGTCCCCACGACGCCCTAGTGATGAAAACGGAAAGGAAAGCGTGTTGGTCGGGTTCCAGATCTGCCAGGCCTCAAGCCAATCGCCTGCGCGGCTTGCAGTAGTCCGTGGGTTGCAGATACGAGTAGCCAGATTTGCGAGGGAGATGGTGCCCCTCCCTAGCAAAGGTTGGGTTGTTGCTCCGGAAGCAAATCTCGAGATCCCCCGAATCGGGCGAGCGGGTTGGGACGGGAAGGGAAGGGGGAAGGCGAAGAAACAACAAAAAAATAAGCGATCGATGCCTGCTCCTTCGTAGTCTATCTTGCAGCAGAATCGAGCTCAGCCCCCCACCCACGTCCCCATCCCCGATCCCCCCCCTCCGCTTGATTTTATCGCCCTCTCCCTTCCAACCCTCGTCTGATCTTGCAGTTCCCGTGAGCCAGTCGGGAAGCGATGCGGACTTGGGAGATGGGGCATCCATCATGCTGCCCAACCAACGCACAATCATGTCACAAGGGCAAGCCAATCTACTGGTCCACACCCTCCAAGTCTTTTTTTTTGTCTCCTCCTCCCCCGAAGGGATACACTACAGTATGCATCGTGTCCTGGGCATCTGGGCGCTTGGAGGAAGCGTGTGCTCCTTTGTCTCAACGATCGTCCCCGGTAAACAGGGGGGGAGGGGTTCTTGGGGCTTTGCTGCAGTGACCCAGTGGGCAGTGAACGTGCTGGGGCGAACGAGGCGGGCTTGGTTGGTCTGTTGGCTGGACTAGGGCTTGTGCACATATAAAACGGTCACAGCACACACACACATACACAGCAATATGAACAAGAGGCGAGGTAGATCAAGTGTGTGAGTAAGTGTGAGAGGAGGGGGGTTCTGTCAAGCGACGCAGGTATGCAACGCAACCAAGAGTTTCTCGGAGCCTAGTCCGACGTGACTCGACACCAGCCTGCGCTTGGCAGGCAACACACTCAGCCTACATGCCTGGGAAAAATGATAATAAGCAAAGCAGCACCAGGGGTCGTTACCATTGGCTTTTTGGGCGGTGTGTTTTTCCCGGGGAAGCAGCCGCAGCAAGCGGGCACGTAGTGGCGAAAAAAAAAGAAGGGAAAAAAAAGACAAAAAAAAAAAAAAAAAAAAGGGTCAGAACACACGCGGCCCACGCGCGTGTGGCGGCGGCGGGTGGACGGTGAGGGAGAAAGTGATGGGTGGGTGGATAAACAAACGGGTGCCTCTTTTTTTTTTCTCCCGCAAGCGTGCGCGTCCGTGTGTTCCTTTTGGCTTCCGCAGACTAGCGCCTTGTGAAGCGTGTACTTTCGTTATTCTTCGTCCGGGGATACGATACACTAGGTGGGGAGACTAAGGGAGACTGAGGACGCATGACACGGAAGACAGGTCCTGCGCAACTCGCAACGGAGAATACAAAGTGGTTGACTAGTGGGGGTTTCTACATAGACTCGGGACCCTGACAAAAAAAATAGATAAAATAGGATAAAACAAGATAAAAAAAAAGTGCAAATAATCCCTGGTCGTGTATCTCCCAGATCTGTGCTGCTCTTGGCTGGGCTGATAGCACGTTGTGCTGTGCCCCCTTGTTGGAACATGGAGGTGAAAAGACATGGTTTCTGTAGGGACAAGCCCAGTTGATGAGGCCGCACTCACAAATCACAAATACCATACACCCCCACCATCACCACCGACCACACCGAGCGGGTGCACACACCAAAGATTTATGAGAGATCGAAATACCCGCCCTCTCCGCCCGCCAATCGTGGGACTGGTTGGTGGTTGTGGCTGCGTCGCCGCGCCCCGTCCGATGCGATCAGGTCGTGCTCTCTTTCCGGGAGGGAAATACGTAAAGATGAGGAGTGGCCGGACGGGGACACGGTCACCAAAGCGGTGCGGGGGATTGGACGTGGTGACGCTGTGTGTTTGTATGTTGTGTAGTATGTGCTGTACTGTCCCGTTTTGTGCTGTTCGAGAGACTACGTACGGGCAGAGGAGAGGATGACAACCATGTCCGGCTGCGGTTTCGTCAACCGCACACAGGACGTTATCACAGCTGATCGACGGGCATTTCGACGCAGCCGGCGTCGTAGCGAGGGTAAGGGCTGCGGCAGGCCTTTTTCCTTTTTCTTTCCCAATATCCAATCGCAGTTTTGCTCCGCAGGCCCGCGCAGGCCGAAGTAAAAAAAAGAAAAGAAAAAAAAAAAGACCGTCACTTTTCTTTTCTTTTCTTTTTCCCTGTCCCTCGCATTTCTGGCTCTGCATCTTTGTCAGTTGGTCGCCCAGGCACACGCCCCCCCCCCCATCACACCCCTGAGTCCCACGCCTGCCGATCAAGGCTGGCTTCATCTGGTGCACGGGAATCTGGCTGTGCCCCAGGGAAGCAGGCTCTAGCCTCCAGCCAGACAGCGCGTGGGTAGCCTGGGGTTTCCCTCCTTGGTCGCACCGAGATGCATGCACAGCCGGACCTTGTCCCCTGTGTCCTGGCGTCCTGTGCCTGTCTCCTCTGCCTCTTTCTCTCCCTTCCCTCCGCCGCATGCCCACGCCCCTCCCCCCTGTCCCCTTGTCCCCATGGCCCCCTGCCACTGCCCTTGCTCGCTCCCCACCCCCCTGCCCGGCCCTGGATGTTCCCACTGGAAGTGCCAACCCTTGCCACGGACAATATCGAGTCAACTCGAACCAGTCCCAGCACCCCCTCCACTGCTCCTGGCTTTTCGGGAGCCGGCCTTGTTCTTTTCTGGCGGTACTGCTCTCCTAGCTCGGCCGCGGGCTTCGTTAATATTATTGGCGTCGCCCATTTTCTGCCGTCATGGTGCTTAGTGGTTTCGTGCCTTGCCTGTTTCCCTCTCCCGCGGTTTATATTTTTTTATTGTCTCTATTTTTCTGATTTAATCTTCTTCGATCACCTTCTGGGCCCTCTGGTCTTTCTCTTCGCCTGGCCCTCCACCCGAACTGCCACCACCACCACCACCACGCTAACCAGGCTGCCTGCCCTGTCTGTCGCACGCACATCGCACAGAGAAGCTAGCTACTAGACCGTTGGCCGGGGACTTTTGTAGAAATCGAGGCTACCGCGAAGCCCGACGAAAAGTGCCGCCCGAAGCGAGAGCAGTAACCCAGGGAAAAAAACAAAAAAGAAAGGGGTAAAAAGGAGAAAGGAAGCGACTAGCAAGTAAGAAATACGCTTGACCCAGAGACGGACTTGCTTGCGGGGAGACGGATCTTTTCACCGAGCCTCGTCTTTGCTAGCCCAATTTGGAGGACTTTTGCCAGCACCAGAAGTGACAGCAGCAGCAGCCGCCCGCGCACCCGAGCTCCAAGCTCCAGCTTTAGCTTCAGTTCTAGCTCCCACCACGTTGCGACCGATGCAATCTCGCCTTGCCGCCGTCGATTCGCGGGCCCGGTAGCCAATTCAGCATTTCAGCATTCAGCGTTTAGCATTCAGCATTCAGCATTCAGCATTCAGCATTCACATTCAGCATTCAGCATTCGGCATTCAACATTCAGCATTTCTGCATTCTGCATTCTGCATTTCAGCATTTCCCGTTGCACGCACACACCAAAGGCTAGCGACTCGCATTTCCTGCTCCAAACCAAGTGGGCCTCGGACCTCGTCTCGCGTGCTGTTTTTACGTGCATTTTTGGTCTTTTGCGCCTGGACTAGCCCAACGTCTCGTCTCGGCAGCAGCAGCAGCAGCAGCAGCATCAAGATCCAAAACGTGGCGGAAAGCCAGGCACAGCACCGACCTTGGCTCCCAGGCACCTTCCCTAGCAAATCGAACATCTGCAGACGCCGCCCCCCCGCCGTTTCACCCCGTTCGGAAAACGACCAGCAGCAAACAAGGACGCCTCCTCCCGTTCATCTAGATCAAATTTGCTCCCGCACCAACCCGCCCGCCCTTCGCACGCTCGCGACCCAGGCACTGCCAGGCACTACCAGGGCGTCTGCGACTAGACTCCCCATAGCGCATGCTAGCGCCGTGCCCGCTGGGCTTGCCGTCCCGCCACCACACTGCCAGTCGTCTGATCGGATCTGCCTAATCAAATCGACAGACAACCCGACTTTCTTATTCTCCTTGGTCTTGGCGCCCGCCCTGGACCCCTACACCCGGCCAGGCCCAGCTGCTGTGACGAGCCCTGACGATTCCCGCTGCTTGGTCTGCAGAGAGAAGAAAAAAGGACATCCCAATCCCAGTCCTCTCCACGGTTTTTTTTTTTTTTAATCAGCCCTGGCCAAGCACCGCACCGCTCCCTCAGTTGCATTTTACCCACCCCTCGACGACACATAACAACCAACAGCACCCGCACTTCCGTCACTGCCTGCTCCACATCCCCATCTGCTGCCCTGGTACATATCTGCGACCTCCCCCCCCCCTCCACACCCCGTCTCCCCTCGATCTGCGCCTTCCGTTTGGCTCGGTCGTCTCGTCTGTTCCACCCTGCAGCTGCGCTCTCATCACCTCGCATCGACTCGCCTCGGCTTGACCCGGTCCACTGGCCCTCGATCGATCGTCTCGTCTCAACATCGCCTTGAGGCCTGCCCTGAAGTCGCCGCTGTGGATCGTGTGCCCTAGGATTTCCCACCGCCTTGAGGACATCGTCGCCGTCACCGAGGCTGTCGTCGACGAATAGAAGCACCACCGACGACACTCCCATCGCCGTCACTAAACCCTCGCTGGCGTCCTGCGTGCATTCGACCCTGCTCTCTCGCTCTGGGGGGACGACGGATGCGCTAGGAGCCAACGCCGAGGGTTGTGGGCGTTTGACGAACTGAGACGGTTATGGAAGAGGACGACTCTGGTTCAAGGCACAGGTTCGTAGTGTTTTTTTTTCTCCCCGCAGGGACTGTAGCTTCCACCGCCGCAGACTCGCGGCGAAGGCGGCGCGACTCCCCCATGGTGTAGCCAGTGCTGTGGAGTGGCGGCACGCGGCCGAAACGAGGAAAGCACGCTGACATTTAGCACCATCTTCTCGTCTCCAGCGGTCCGAATTCTGCTACCAGCACCAGAGGGCTTCCTGATTACTACGACCAGCGCCCGCGAGACTCCCACGACCGGCCCTATCGGCCGGCATCGTCCGCCATGGCCACGGCTGCTCTGATCAGCCCAAGCACACCCTACCATCCTCACCACTCACCCTACCCAGCATCAGCACCGTCTTATCCTCCTCACCCTTCAGTACCAGCCATGATTTCTCCAGTCGAGTCCAACCGTCGCCCCTCGGATGACAGCGACGCCAACACCCACCGAACCTCTCTACCCTCCATCAGGGACATCATGAACGTCAAGGGCCAAAACGGCTCCGGACCTCAGACCCTGCCCTCACCATTCTCTAGCCAACCTAGCGGAGCTCCGCCTCCTCCACCGCGGTCCTACGCAGAGCCTCCCCCTACCCGTGAGAGGCCGCCTTCTCCTCCGAGGCCACTCCACCCCTCATCGGCCTATCCGCGCTCCGAGACGCTTCCCGCCTTTTCAGACGCATCGCGACCACCACTCGGCCCGCCACATGCTGGACCACCACAGCTCAGCATCTACCCCGGCGCGCCGCCAGCACCTTTGGGCAAGCCCGACTCGGCGCACGAGATCGATCGCAGGTCACAACACCACCCCGGCGGAGGCCCCGAAGGAGGCCCGCCACCCCATGTGAATGGCCACTACTCCCACCATGGGCCGCCGCCGCCGCCGCCACCACATCCGTCACAGGGGCCGCCACCTCCGCCTCCGCATCCTCACGCGCAGCAGAGCCACTCGCCATACTCGAACGGCCCGCCAGTCCCGCTCCCGCCGGGCCAGCTGCCCCTGGGTCCATACCCCATGTCTCCACGCCACCATGGCGGGCCGCCATTGCACTCGCCGTACGCATCCCAACGGCCACCGATGGGGCCTGAAGAGGCCGAGTACGCCAGGCGCCGTGGCAAATACGAGCAGCTGCCCGGACACCACTACGACGTTTGGAACTACTCGGATGCGCTGGCCAAGGTTCGTAAACCCCCGAGGTTTTGTTCAGTGTCAACATCTTGTGCGACATATTCGGTGGCGTCCAGGTATCCAACTAACACATATAACCATTGCAGATCGGCAGCAGCTCGAGGCAGATCCTGTCGTTTGCTGAGACGTATGGGAAGATCGCACAGGAGGAGCAGGGGCCTCCACCCCCGGGGAGGCTGCCAACCGAGCAGGAAATTGCCGACATGGTCAGCAACTGCGAGACAATCCACTACATGCTCGACATGGTCCGAGGCTCCGTCAACCATACCATTATGAACCAGCGCATGCGCGAGGGGAGTCGAGCAAGGGGCTTTCCCGAGGATGAGGATGGCAGCATGTTCCACGATGGGATGAAGCCGGGTTATGGAGGCGGCGAGGTCAAGAAGCGTCGTGGGGTACGTTTTCCCAATTTTTTTTTTTATCTGTCTGTCTTTTCAGCGGCACTTTTGCTAACGTGTGTGTCATGGAACAGCGCGCTGCACCTCCAGGCCGATGCCACAGCTGCAACCGTATCGACACCCCCGAATGGAGACGTGGCCCTGACGGCGCCAGGACGCTCTGCAATGCTTGCGGACTTCACTATGCGAAACTGGAGCGCAAGAGGCAGATGGAGCAGCGAGGCGGCAACAAGAGCCGTGATGAGCGCAACTAGACGCAGGGCCCTGGACCCGCCTACTTGTCGCCAGCCATCAAGCCATTGAAGCAGACCCACGGAAGGAGCTCTCTCCTCCGAGAGGCCAAGTCTTGGTTGATCCACCGCCACAGCCTCTTGAGCAGCGCCAGTTGCTTCATGACGCAACAAACACACAGTCGACTACACCACCTTCAACTTAATCACGTTTCCAGCCGGATTGTTTTCTTCTCTTCGCACTTCATTTCATCTTTGCTTCCCGCACATGATTTTGCGGGCTCATGGTCTTGCCGTGAGCGAGGAGCAGCAAGAGCTTCTCGTTTCCCTCGTCACCCTAACGAATAACCAAACAATCTTGCAACTGCATTCGATGGCGCGGCCTTTCTTTTAATTCATGTGCGACGAAAACCTCGCATGCTACGACGTCCCGAACCAAAGCGATCAGCATCCAGCCGACAGCGAGAATATATCCACCACTCTTTCTTTTTACTAGTATTATCCTTTTGGTCCTCTTTTATCTAATACCCTTCATTGAATCCGGTTACAGGGCGGACCACTGGCGGCTGCGACTTGGTTCCCCCTGGCCCATTCTTGCCCCCTCATAACTTTATGAGCGCTGCCTTGACACTGTCGTTATTTGTCTTCCATGTTTCCAAGACGTCTTTTTCTTCTTTCATTTTTGTGCAACGTGGAAATATGAAAGAGTCTTGTATATACCCCTGGGGAAATCACGGCTTCGGTTTACTCTCAGTTTATATATTAGCATTGCGCGGCGTTGTTTCTACACATTCTATTTTGCTTCTTCGTTTTTCGCTACTACCCTGTTCAACGCTCGCTCTCACGGAGCCATCATTTATGCTACCTACATTTTGATCTGTGCGTCTGCTTCACGGTTATGTGTGTGTGCCTTTGTCTGTGACCTGGCGTGACCTGTGGGTTTTGTGGTTCGTTTTCATTGACATGATGAAGTTTGATTCTTAGCTCGGACTCTGTTGATCGTCCTAGACCAGTGGTCTAGAAGGACCAAGTTATTCCAACCGAGTAGCTTCATGGAATCATGTGTGTCTTTGCGGAGACGGTGTCAACTCGGCTCTGTCTGAGCGGCGGGATGGGGGGAGGCGGATTGTCCGGTTGGACTTTCTGTGTCCGCTCTGTACGGAAACGACAGAGAGGTTCGGGCCTAACCGCCACGCCTTTCTCGTGGCGTGGCAGTAGCACCTGGCGGGGCTGGGCTTAGGGCCAGGTAGGGACGTACGTACGTGCGCGTGTGCGGGCTGAGAAGGGTCGAAACCAAGGTGGGAAGAGAGTGGGTGGTGGTGACTCCCATTGGGCTCCCTTCCCCGGGACCCCTTGTTTACGCGCGGGGCTCGTGTGCGTTTGCGTTACTCTCCCTTTGGGGGGTCTAGATAAGGCACGCACGCACGCACGGTAGGTACCGACCGACCTACCTAGGTCCGAGGTGGTGGACAGATGGCATCGAATATGACCGATCAGAACGGACAGAGGGGAGTGTGAGAGGTAATGGATGGTGGACCTACCGTTGGATTTTTTTCTCTCTCTTTTCTTTCTGGTTGGTTGTTGGTTCTGCACAGTCAAGAAACCATGCCCGCACGCCAAGGCCAGACGGGTACCACCTCCGTGACACCTAGCTATGGTATGGCTCTTTTCTGAGGTCCCCCTCTCGGGCCGGGGTGAGGTGTGTCCATGTTGCTCAGCCACGGTTCCACCTGTCCCCGTGCGTTGCTCTTCCTCCTTACCTCCTCCCTTGGTTCGCAATCTCTTTACTCTTCTTCGCTCTTCATGGCCGCTTCGTGCGCGTGCGCGCGGTGGTGCACGTAGTACATGTTCGGAATAAACGGGGAGACCAGTCGTGCCACCCGTGTCACCCCCCCAGACACCATTTCCGGTTTCCTTGGAGGGAGGGCTTGTGTGTGTGTGTGTGTGTGTGTGTGTGTGTGTGTGTGTGTGTGTGTGTGTGGTGG